TGCTGCTGCTGCTGCTGCTAGTCTTACTACTACTACTACTACTACTGCTACTACGGCTACCACTCCTACTACTATTACTGTTGCCATTACTACGATTGCGCCGACTGCTGCTACTAAAAAGCAAACTAAAGCTAGCACGACTCCAAATCAACTACTACTATTCCTACCACCCCTGCTGCTACTACTACTACTACTACTACTACTACTACTACTGGTACTACTGCGCCATCGACCACCACTGCGAATACGGCAACTACCAGCGCTACTACTACCACTACGACTACGTCTGCTACTGCGACTACTACTCCTACTTCTACTACTACTCTACCATTACTACCACTACTACTACTACGACTACTACTCCTACTACCACAACTGCTTACACTACTAGTACTACGGCCACTACTACTACTCTACGACTACGGCTACGACTACGACTACGACTACGACTACGACGACTACTACTACTACTACTACTCCTACTACGACGACTACTACCACTACTACTGCCACCACTACTATAATAACCATCACAAACACGACGACGACGAGTAGTACTGGTACTATTAGCACCACAACTACTTCTACGACGACTTCTACCACAACAACCGCTACTAGTGCTACTACTACTACTACTACTACTACTACTACTACTGGTATTACTACTATTACTACTACGACTCGTTTTCGTGCTACTACTACTACTACGACTACGACTACTACTACTACTACTACTACTACTACTTCTACTACTACTACTACTACTACTGCTACTACTACTACTACGACTACCATTAGTACTACTTACTACCACTACTACTACGACTACGACTACTACTACTACTACCACCACTACTACAACGACTTCTATTACGACAACTACTATTTCTACCTCTACGACAACTACGACCACTACTACTACTACTACTAGTACTACTACTACTACTGCTGCTGCTGCTGCTGCTGCTACTACTACGACAACTAATACGACTACGACTACGACTACGACTGCGACTACGTCTACGACTACGACTACGACTACGACTACTACTACTACTACTAGTACTACTACTACTACTCCTACTACTACTACTACTACTACTACTACTACTACTACTACTACTACTTCTATTACTACTACTACTACTACTACTACTACTACTACTACTACTACTCCTACTCCTACTCCTACTCCTATCCTTATTCCTTGTTAGAATATACTCCTACTCCCCCCTCAGGCCGGCAGATAGGGGGCACATCCGGGTGGTCCCATCCGAACCTGTAAAAAACAATACAAAATCAACATTTTTCTTATTTTTTCCTCTCGACATGGACGTCCTGTCGTCCACGGCGATAATCCATTGGAAAAAATACCACAAAGAACACACGCACGCGTTCATGTCAGAATCCTACCGAACACCGTGTGTTTGCAAGCATTTCAACATAAAAACATCGAAAACCAAATGCTTTTTTTTTCACAAAATTTCTACACATTGCCTGCCCGGGCTCTCTTGATGAAATCATAGGAAAACCATGGGAATCTTAAGAATTCCGTCAAATCCAGCGATTTCACGTCATCGCGCGGTGCACTCGCGATGCTCTGTCATGCACCCAGGCCGCGAATCGTGTGCTAAAAATACCACGCGGGCGACATGCGCGCGCGTCGCCGCGAGCGCATGCTCAAATCCTTCTAGAGTCGTCGCCGTCATTGGCACCGTCGCATGGACGTCCTGTCGTCCACGTCGCAAAATGCATGGCAAGAATGGGACCCGGCTTACCGGGCCGTTCTCGACACGGCCACCTCTGGCTTCCTGCGGTGTACCGGGCCATTCTCGACTCGTCTGGCAACGCGTGCGCGGCATTCAACACGCGCTCGCCAGTTCCCGTCGGCAACCGCCATCGCGGCCGCATCAGCTGTACCAAACCGGCTGGCCGGTGTGACTTCGGCCCCAAGTTGTGCCAGCTTTGCTTCTTATGTTGTGGGAGGGCGGGTGGGACTGGGCATGCCATGCTTGACTCGCTCGAGCTGGCTAGCTTGACTCCTACTCCTACTTCTGCTCCCACTCCTACTCTCTCCTACTCTCTCCTACTACTAATACTACTACTTACTACTACTAACACTTACTACTCACCTACTTACTATTATAACTTTATTGTACCACACTACTACTACTACTACTTACTACTATTATAACTAATACTACCTACTACGACTACTACGGACTACGACTACGAACTACGACTAGACTACGACTAAATACCTACTATCTTACTACGACTACGACTACTACTACTACTATTACTACTACTACTACTACTACTACTACTACTACTACTACTACTACTACTACTACTACTACTACTACTACTACTACTACTACTACTACTACTACTACTACTACTACTACTTACTACTACTACTTACTACTACTACTACTACTACTACTACTACTACTACTACTACTACTACTACTGCTACTGCTACTGCTACTGCTACTGCTACTGCTACTACTACTACTACTACTACTACTACTACTACTACTACTACTACTACTACTACTACTACTACTACTACTACTACTACTACTACTACTACTACTACTACTACTACTACTATTACTACTACTACTACTACTACTACTACTACTACTACTACTACTACTACTACTACTACTACTACTACTACTACTACTACTACTACTACTACTACTACGACTACTACGACTACTAATACACATACAAACAATCGTACTACTACACTACTACGACTACTACGACCACTACTACACTACTACTAGTACGACTGCGAATCGTACTACTAATATTATTACATCGGCGCTCAGAAAATTTATTCCGATTCGAGAGGCCCGGCCCCGCGCGAATGCAGCGCAAACGCTACGCTGGAAGGGCGCGGCACTGCATGCCCCCTGGACAGGCGAGAGCAGCCGCGCCCCCGTGCGAACCCCGATCCCGCGCGGGGCGCGTTCCCGTTGACAATGGCTCACCCGGGAAACCGTTTCTTGCGCAGGAAGTCCTGAGCGGTCTGCCCATCGGCGGCTCCTTCGGACGAGGCCCGGAACCGCCGAGAAATCGTTTGTGATAGAAAATTCTAGGCGGTTTGCCATGTTGGGTTTCTTCGGAGTGGGCTCGGAGACCTCGAAAACTATGTTTTCGCAAAGATTCCTGAGCGGTTTGCGCATTTTCGGGTCGTTCGAGCCGGGCCCGCAACTTTGTGGGCGCAGGTCTTATGGAAATTGGCCACTTTCAGGTCGGCCGGTCAACTTTTCGGGTCGTCGTATGACCGAACCCGAAAGTTTTTTCCGAGGAGGTCCTATGCCGTTGGCTCATTTTCGGGTCGATACACCATTTGGGATTTGAAGTTTGAAATTGGGAAGGGGAACCCGATCCCGCGACCCCAGGCGGGGGCTAGGCTCTGCACTTGCATTGTGCTGGGCCCCTCCGGCTAAACGGCGCGCTGGGCTGCCCATCGGCGCGCCGACTCTGCCCTCGCGTCATCGCCCCCCCCGCCCCCGGGCCCCGCGAGTCTTATCCTGACGGCACCACCCCAGATGGCCGCGGCGAGCACGGTGGAGAAATTGGGGAAACTTTCGGATCGGCGCAGTACAACAACAACTACTACTACTCCTACTCTTACTCCTATCCTTTTTCCTTATTAGAATATACTCCTACTCCCCCCTCAGGCCGGCCATTAGGGGCCGCATCCGGGGGGTCCCATCCTAACCTGTAAAAAACAATATAAAATCAACATTTTTCTTATTTTTTCCTCTCGACATGGACGTCCTGTCGTCCACGGCGATAATCCATTGCAAAAAATACCACAAAGAGCACACGCGCGCGTTCATGTCAGAATCCTACCGAACACAGTGTGTTTGCAAGCATTTCAACATAAAAACATCAAAACCCCAATGCTTTTTCACAAAAATTGTACAAATTTCCCGCCCGGGCTCTCTTGCTGAAATCATAGGAAAACCATAGGAATCTTAAGAGTTCGGTCAAATCCAGCGATTTCACGTCATCGCGCGGTGCACTCGCGATGCTCTGTCATGCACCCAGGCCGCGAATCCTGTGCAAAAAATACCACAAAGAGCACACTCGCGCGTTCATGTCAGAATCCTACCGAACACCGTGTGTTTGCAAGCATTTCAACATAAAAACATCAAAAACCCAATGCTTTTTCACAAAAATGCTGTGGGGTGTCCTGTCAGACCGTCGGGCTTCCTCCGGCCACCTCTGGCTTCCTGCGGTGTACCAGGCCATTCTCGACTCGTCTGGCAATGCGTGCGCGGCATTCATCACACGCGCTCGCCAGTTCCCGTCGGCAACCGCCATCGCGGCCGCATCAGCTGTACCAAACCGGCTGGCCGGTGTGACTTCGGCCCCCAGTTGTGCCAGCTTTGCTTCTTATGTTGTGGGAGGGCGGGTGGGACTGGGCATGCCATGCTTGACTCGCTCGAGCTGGCTAGCTTGACTCCTACTCCTACTCCTAATCCTACTACTACTACCACTACTACTACTACTACTACTACTACTACGACTACTACTACTACGACTACTACTACTACTACTACTACTACTACGACGACGACGACGACGACGACGACGACGACGACTACTACTACTACGATACTACTACTACGACGACTACTACTACTACTACTACGACGGCGGCTACTTCTACTACTACTACTACTACTACTACTACTACTACTACTACTACTGCTACCACCACTACCACTACCACTACTACTACTACTACTACTACTACTACTACTACGACTACTACTACTACTACTACTACTACTACTA